GATGATTTAAATTACTAATACACTATCAACCATAGCAACATTTATTGGTAATTTAGTATACTCTTGGATACTGTATATAACTTTAAAAAGTCATTGAAATGATATGAATTGATAGTATTCTTATATATTTTACATTGCATACAGAGCTGTAACCTCTTAATGATAACCAATTACTGGTATAATTAATGCTGACATAAACTTATATTTCAACGAGCACACTAATTAAATAATAGCCATAGATACTAGTGTAAAATACTACAAGTGTATAATTATTTTATTCTCATTATACTGTAGTTACTAAGTTGTAGTAATATAAATGTAGTGCAGATTTGTGTTTAAAGGGGGGTCAGACTGTTCTCATTTTTTGTAACTGATTTCGAGACACGCAAACTGTATATGATAGCAAGGTTAGTTTGATTAGATTAAACGGTGAAATCAGACAATTTTCTATATATAACTGTATTAATATAAATTATTAGTTTAAAGGTTTTGGCATAAGTGCTTGCGAATGGTTAACAAAAATTATATATATATATATCTACAAAAATTTGTTTTTTAGTGTAAACTTCAAAAATAATTTTTGAGTATTTTAGTAAAATTAATTGTTAAATCCTGTTTATAAAAATGTGGACAATTTTAAAATATTAATAATAAAGAAAATTGTTTTTTGCTAATTAATTTAAACATTAGTTTTACTGTTTCGATATAAAAAATAATTTTAAAAAATGTCTATAAACGACATGTTACGGGGGTGGGATATGACCCTCTATTTTTATACCGGGATTGTTTTAATACTAAACTTCACGTTTGTAAGTATTTTTATTTAATTTGAATACTGTACCTGTATATCCATACCAATATTCTGCTTAATTTTCAAATATTCTTTGAGACACTATTCTTATCTGTAATTAGTATTGAAAGTTATGATAAAATAATAATGTTTATGTAAAGTGACATAACATACATACAATAATATTCTTGTTTTTCCGTATTTTAATCGCTAGACTATACGACTACAGGCTATTATTGATAGCAAATCACTAAAATTAATGCTACTTTTGTTTTTCATAATTTTTTAATTAGTCTCTAATCGACTCGCAATTTCCACAATCTATGGTTGATATGAAGTTTATATTAAACACATCCCTATACGACATATCACTGACCAGTATGTTGGCCACAATGACCATCAATTTTGGACCCGTTTGTAGGCATCAAATAAATATCAGTCAAAAAACAATTATTTAATAAATTCCTACCATTTAATAGTGGGTTTACTCTACAAGTATGGGAACCGACAGCTAATCACTGTATTAGTGTTACTGACGATGGCATTGGCCAACACGGCCATACCATTCACGACACATATATCGCAGTTATTTGTTATTGAATTTTTCTACGGCTGTACGTTCGGGGCCTGGAGTTCCGTCGTAAACGTATGGATCATAGAACTGTGGCAGCACCGGTGTACACAAGTATTATTTATATGTCAACTACTGGTGGGGTTGGGCAGTGTGCTGGGGGCTGTCCTTACCAGTCAATACTTAACTACTGACAAACAACTACTTAATTCAGACCATGGATTAAATATTAGAAATGATGTCCGTTTGGCTAAAGTCTATGAGAGGCGAACCACTCTGGAGGTGCCGTTTGTGATGACCGGCGCCACTCATACACTATGTAAGGGGAACGGCATATAAAATATATAAGTTTAGATTTCAAGAATATTCTGTATTTTTATTACAGTTACGATAATTCTGTTGATAATGTATTTCATAAAACCGTATAAAAAGAGAGGGCAGACATATGAGGCTATAGACGGGCGGACAGGGAGTGAAAAGTTGCATAAAAGTCCAAAACTGCGGATAATAACTATAATATTAATGTCGATCTGTTTTTCATCGGCCAAATCGCTGGAGCTATTCGTCACCACATTTGCCTCGACATACTTCCAGTACATACCGGTCCACCTGAGCTCATCCCAGGCCGCACTCATAGTGTCCATAATGTTCGCCAGTTTTACGATCGGAAACGTGTTTAACATATTTGTCGTCAATTTTATCGCTACGAAAAATTTGATTTTCATTCACCTGACCATAGCTTTCGTGTCATTCTTGGGACTACTATTTGCCGGCAATTCGCAGGTATTTCTGTGGATATTAAGCGCCGGCAATGGGTTCGGGTATTCAATACTCAGCGCAACTTTTTTGGCATTTTTTTCAAATTATATCGATATTACGGACCGCATATCAATGATTATGTGGGTGACTAACGGTGCCATACTGGCCGTACCCCTGTTGGGTACGGGATATCTCATTGAAAGTTTTCCCGACATTTACGTGTTTATTAATTTGGCATTTTTAATACTCTCGTTCGTAGGGTTTGTTATGTTTTTATTTATTGTCAAATATTGTAAATTATAAAACCACAAAATGTTTGGAAATGGATAGACATATGACTACACATAAGAAGTAGTAAACTTAATGTTTGTAAAATTTAAAATGAATTATTAAATAAATATTTTTTATTTTTGATAAACTAGAATCTAGGGTTTAAAGTTTAAAATTTATTTACATATGAATTAATCAATAAAATAGTGTTTGTATCAGAAAAATTAGTTAAAATAATATTTATTTATATACAGTATATACTTTCGTATAATATAAATAATCGCAAGTATATTAAGATAAATTAATTTTATAACTCGTACGTATTTTTATTATACCGTAAAAAGTTTTGTGTTTTAAAGTTTTTTGACGTTTTGTGTGAATGTTTGTCGCAAACGTGGAAATCACGTGATGTTTGCGTTTAGTATTGTTTTGCTTTCAACTGATTGTCTGTAAAAATGGATCAAATTTGTGGTGATTTTCGACCATTAAGTCGAAGACAATTGTATTCATTGATGAATGCATTGAAACGTGAAAATAATTGTTTGAAAACAGATTTAATTAGATTTGAATTAATGGTTAAAATACACGAAAAATATGTGAAATATTTGCGAGAAATGAATGAAACGATTGAAACAAATACTGAAAAGCATTTCATTTCACAAATCAATGCTTTGAATGCAATTCAAGACAACAATTGTTTGATTCGTTTGAATGACAAACAAATTTGTGGTATTTGCGAGAAATGAATGAAACGATTGAAACAAATACTGAAAAGCATTTCATTTCACAAATCAATGCTTTGAATGCAATTCAAGACAACAATTGTTTGATTCGTTTGAATGACAAACAAATTTGTGGTAATTATCACCAATTCAGAGGTATTTTCAAATATAATATTGAATTGAATTTTAATTACTTTTTGTTGAAAACAGTTTTGCAATCAATTGGTTGTCAAAGAAGTGATGAATTGAATGAAACAAAAGACAATTCAAGACATGAAACACAAGACAAGGTATTGAGTGCTGAAGACATGCAATCAGACAATGAATCCGAAGGTATTGAATGCCATATGAATTGGGAATCAAGTGATACAACATTTGAAAGAATGAATGAAAAGTCAAATAATAGTCAAACAGAAAGTGATTTCAAAACAAATTCAGACATCGATTGCAAGAAAAGAAGTGATAAAAAGAGGACAAAAAATGCCCGAAAATATGTTTGCGATTACAATGAGTGCCGAAAATCCTATTTCGATCGCAAGGATCTTAGGGATCACCTGATGTCTCATTCCGGCGAAAGACATTTCTGTGATTTCAAGAACTGTTGCAAACATTACTCACATTCGGGTTTCGAGAGCAATGAATGCCTTAATAATAATGAATCAAATGAAGACACTTCAGAAGCGATTGAAGACTTGAATAGAAATGAAACGAATGAAGAGGAATGTGATTCAAATGAGAGTCAAAGTGAATGCCTATTAAAGACTATATCAGACAATAATTGCGAAACAAATACCAGAAAACGAAAATTCAAACCAATTAGAAGTGATAACACTGACAATGAAACAGACGATGAATATAACGACAGTACGATAACTGACAAAGAAATGAGTGATAATTCAGACGAAGATTGCGAACCAAGAGTCAAGAAAATGAGACGAAACTATGTTTGCGATTATGAAA